AATCAAACCTGTAAGGAACCCATTATTCTTATTTTATAATGAGTAGGAAAAAATGTAAAATAATTTTTTGCCTATTTGCATTCATTAATTTAAAAGTGAATATAAGGGTGCAAAAGTTTTACCCAGAAAATGTTGCCACATTTCTGGGAAGTTTGTTATTCCTAAAGTAACACTGAACTTATCAACAGAAATTCTAATACTAATAGAAAGAAGACGGAGATAATTAGGAGTACCGTTTAAAAGATATAGGAACATTCTTATCTCTCAAAGAAAATGCCCAGGTTGGTCTTCAGAAATCAAATGTGACTTTCAATTCACTCACCTGCCCAAGATACAGAAATAATCAGACAGGAATTTTAGAGCCTTTTTTTGATAAATTACTTCCTGTGTTCACACTAGCTTATTTACTGTAACATTAATAAGGAATTATGCAATGTGACACATAACATTAAACAGGGAATGGCTGTGAGGGGGGCCTATTACAGCAGTAGATTTTTACTTGTGGGGTCTCTGCCTCTGGCCTCAGGAGTCATTGCCTATTCCATGTATGTACATACAATCATACGACATAGATACAGTAGTCATCTTATCCCTTTCTCCTTCTCCTTCTTACATGATCTACTATACTGGCATTTTGTTTATTACCTGATGTAGCTCACTGGTCTATGGTTAAAACCATACATTGCTCCAGTTAATCAGCGTCATTAAAAGATGAAAGTTTTAATAAGAGCTCTCTAATTTCCTTTAAATGTAGCATACCATCTGTTATAAAAAGCAGGGTCAAGTGCAAGTCAGCCAAACAAAACTAATATATCCTGAGGGAAAATCTATATCGTGTCATGCTATTTGCTCCACAAGTGCCATGGAAATCAATTTGTTCACATGCAAAATGTTAAATACATTTTTATGGGAATATATCCTGTTTTGCCCTTTCTTGCTGTGTGATGATTTAAATGAATTTTGTTCCATCATTCTTTCCTGGTAACTGAAATGACTCCCATGTGTCTTTATTGGTTATAATGTTAAAGAAAAGCTTCCATACTAGTACATAAATGCATGTCCATAAAAAGTAAGCTTGCCCTCAAATCAAACCTGCATTCGATGGAAAATCCTCCACTGAATCAATGTTTTACTGAATGCATCTTGTTTAGGAAAAGGTTAAATGAAATTGATTTTCTAGATTTTGAGGAAAATAGCTATATTTCACATTTTTTCCAATCTGTGTCAAAAGTTTTTCTATTAAATTGGGACTTTAAACCAAGCCACCTTTACGCTGTAATAAAAAGTAACAAAACTTCAATCCTTGGCTGCCATTCATTATAAACAAGCACATCAGTTGCTCTCGATTCACAGCAAAGCAAGCTCAGTTTTGCAAGGTAACCAAAATGGCTATATAAACCACTTCTACTAGTTCCTAATTAATGAAGATGGAAATGCCAATGGATAATTAATCACTCTGTCAGTCATAAAAAGTTTTAATTAAAACAGCACCTTCACCAAATTTCTGGTCATAATTTAGCATATTTATCCGTCTCTCCAGTTTGTAAAAGTCTGTTAAATAACAAAGTACTGCGCATGCATTGCATATGGCTGTAGCTGTGGGTGCATACTTATTCAAGTGACCTGCCGAAAAAGACAGAGAGTTATATCTAGCACAGAAAGAAAGCAGAAATTTTCCATAAGGCTGTAAGGGGGTAATTAACTTCCATGCACAGTGGCTGACAGCAATTTAGCATGAACCCCCAAGGAGTTAGGTCGATCTAGTTGGATTGATCTAAATCTCTGGGAATGCACTCTTAAACACAATTGTTCCCCAAAGAAAATGTGACAGCTAATTAAAGTAGTCTAGCCCATTCAGCAAGTACACATGCACAGGTTTGTTTTGTCTGAACTGTCAAATAACTGAAAGGGTTCACAGTAAAATTCTGCAAGCTTCCAATTTCTTGTTGCTTTCAAGCTGGGGAAACCTATAAACCTTCAACTAAATGTCAAATAAATACAAGTTGCCCTTTATGATGAACAGTAAGACCAGATATTAGAAAGTGTGGATAACTTATTCAATCTGCGGTCTACCAAGATATTTGTTATTTTCAAGAAGTAAATATATCTAAAGTACTATACATGGTAGGATAAAAGGAATAAGTATAAAAATAAAAGTATTGATGTTCTCCCACTTTCTTTCATGAACTGAAATGCAACAATAAGCTTTTTTTAAACAAGATCTAAAAAAGCTACAAGGAAAAAAACCTCTAAGACAAAGACCTAAAAATTGCTACAAGGAAAAAAAACTAACGTCTTGTTGGTTCAACTTTCTTTCCTCACTATGATAGCTTCTTTTTTTAAGTTGATTTTTAATTATATCAGTCTAGCATATAAAAATAATAATTACTATCTGTTTTCACACAAAAATCATAGAGGGACTCAATTTAAAACCTTCTCAACACCATTTCACATTCTCCAATTGATCTGGTTTATTTTACTATTTAAAGTAGAACATCTGCCATTTGTTAGGAAGTGAATAATGTCTAACATCTCAGGAAACATTTAGAATGTTAATTCATTAAAAAGGTTTTGTCTACTTTTGCAGTGTCACTAGGTTTTAAGAAATTGAAAAAAAAACTTCATTATTTCTTTGGCACAGGTCATTGTTTTTAGTTGTTTCATGTTTTTGTAATGTTCTAGCTATTAATAAAATCTTCAATTCAGATGCATACATGATTAGCTTGACGGTGTGCTGACAGGCCACAGTTAAATGTTTTTCCCCGAACTGCATTCTAATAGAAAGTAATTTACAAAACCTTTGTTATCAGGCACTGTGAAAAAATATACCTGTTGGTCAGGACATACAGTAAAATAAATATGCATCTCGTAATAACCTCTTACTGCAGTTTAATTTTTGCGAATATGACTTACAAATATTATCCTGAAGGGTTGCTATTTTTAAAACTTTCATTACTAAAACAGCTGCAACCTTTGTTACTAAATTAGAAAATTTCCCCATGCAAGCAAGGCATAAATTAAAAAAAAATTCCATGGTTTACACAAAAAGCTAGACACACAGCTTAGATAAATAGATTTACACTAAGAGATTTATAAAAGTAGCATATGCAATTAAATCTTTAACTTCATTTTTCACTTTTCTGTTTTTTCAAGCGGACCTACATATTGAGAATGAATGGCTATATTGACATAATAACTTTATAAGACAGAATTAGTCAAATTCATATGAACTAATTCATATAAACGCAAAAATTCATTTTGGGCACTTCCTCCGTTACTGGCAGCCTTGCATTCACTGTTCATGTCCTTTTTTTAAATATTTATCCGCCCACTTCACGTGAAGTTATAACTCGAAGTCGTACTCGTAGTCTGAACTCGATTAGAATATTTCCATTCAACGTTGAATGCAATATATACCAAACTCACCTGCACAAGAGACATCCAGCAACGAGATAAGGAACAAAATGATTGCTGATAAAATCATCCTCGCTGAACACATCTTCATTCGTTGTAGCACCAAAACACTAGGGAAGATCAGGGGAAATACCCCGGGTAAATATTCATCACATTCCACCATACATGTTCCGTCACTTCACACACAATTTGACACAAACTTTGTTTGTTCGCGTGAAATCACGCGTGGAGCACTTGTTCCGAAAGACGGCGCACATTGCCGAGCTTCTTACAAGACAAGCCAGTCTGAAGTTAGACCCACGTTNTACAAAACTTCATTATTTCTTTTGCACAGGTCATTGTTTTTAGTTGTTTCATGTTTTTGTAATGTTCTAGCCATTAATAAAATCTTCACTTCAGATGCATACATGATTAGCTTGACGGTGTGCTGACAGGCCACAGTTAAATGTTTTTCCCGAACTGCATTCTAATAGAAAGTAATTTACAAAACCTTTGTTATCAGGCACTGAGAAAAAATATACCTGTTGGTCAGGACATATGTGTCAGTAAAATAAACATGCATCTCGTAATAACCTCTTACTGCAGTTTAATTTTTGCGAATATTACTTACAAATATTATCCTGAAGGGTTGCTATTTTTAAAACTTTCATTACTAAAACAGCTGCAACCTTCGTTACTTAATCAGAAAATTTCCCCATGCAAGCAAGGCATGAATTAAACAAAATTCCATGGTTTACACAAAAAGCTAGACACACTGCTTAGATAAATAGATTTACACTACAAAAGATTTATAAAAGTAGCATACGCAAATAAATCTTTAACTTCATTTTTCACTTTTCTGTTTTTTCAAACGGACCTATATATTGAGAATGAGTGGTTATATTCACATAATAACTTTATATGACAGAATTAGTCAAAGTCATATGTACTAATTCATATAAACGCAAAAATCCATTTTGGACACTTCCTCCGTTACTGGCAGCCTTGCATTCACTGTTCATGTCCTTTTTTTAAATATTTATCCGCCCACTTCACGTGAAGTTATAACTCGAAGTCGTACTCGTAGTCTGAACTCGATTAGAATATTTCCATTCAACGTTGAATGCAATATATACCAAACTCACCTGCACAAGAGACATCCAGCAACGAGATAAGGAACAAAATGATTGCTGATAAAATCATCCTCGCTGAACACATCTTCATTCGTTGTAGCACCAAAACACTAGGGAAGATCAGGGGAAATACCCCGGGTAAATATTCATCACATTCCACCATACATGTTCCGTCACTTCACACACAATTTGACACAAACTTTGTTTGTTCGCGTGAAATCACGCGTGGAGCACTTGTTCCGAAAGACGGCGCACATTGCCGAGCTTCTTACAAGACAAGCCAGTCTGAAGTTAGACCCACGTTTTTGCCGTTATGTGTAACGTATATTCTTGTTCTATTTTACAGTCGTCAAGCTCGTATATAATAGTTTAATCACGTTCTTGTATACTTATTTTTGACATTAATGAACATTTCGATTTGCATTTTGACGTTCAAACTCACATTTGAACGCTAGCGTGTTTTAAAAACTTTGACGTTGACGCCTGTGCAGCTATCAACTTCCGCCAGCTGATGACACAATCCCAGTGCAATATAGATGATGGTAGATCCGTATTTTAAGAACTTTTATTTAATGTCCGCCACCTTTTTTAAAAGTATAGGGACATCACAATGAATGGAGTAAGGTCAATTTACAATCTTATGTTTGGGAGGCATTTATTTTTAACAAACACAATAAGTGCCGGCGTGTTGTTAGGAGCTGGAGATTCCATTGTTCAGACTTTTGAAGGTAGACGGATAAAAAAGAAAGGTGGGGAATGGGCAAGAGACTGGAAAAGAACAGGTTTGTGTTTGGTCCTAAAGTTTCCTTATACAACTGCTGGACCTGAATAAACATGCCTCACAACTTGTGGCCAGTGTTTGGTAGACTACATTTGTATCAGCAGGACTAGAATTATGAAGTACAGGTGTTATATATATTAGTACAGAAGTCCTACCAGTATTAGTTCTGATATGCCACATGCACCGAGCTCTGAATTTGAATAAGTGCAGTCACATTTTCTGACATGTCCCTTTTCATATTTTTGGGGAATGGTCGATGTTTAAGACAATTTATCTTGTTCCTATTGAAGGACTCAGTGAACATTTACAATACAATACAATAAATTTTATTTCATGTCGGTTATAAATTGAATGGAAACATTAGCTTTACAGCTATTCTCCGACTGTGGCCCTTTTATTAAGAGACATAATTAAATTTGGAGTTAGCTGAAGTGTGATGGTACATATAGTTACAAAACCGTCTTGTATTGAAATGCAAATGCGCTTTTATTAATTGCATGTTTTGAATTTGTCCTGTCTCAGGTCGAATGACAGTGGTTGGATTCTTCTTTGGACCCATGGCCCATAAGTATTATAAATACCTAGATTGGTGGCTTCCAGGCAGAGACTTTAAGACTATTGCAAAGAAGATTATGGTGGAGCAACTAATAATGTCACCGATGTCACTAGTAATTTTCTTTGGCGGTGAGATCAAATTCCTCAAACTAAAATATTTATTTCCTATGCTTTTGTATCCCCTCCTCTTCATTTTCTTGCAGCTTTATATTTTTTACAGGTATGGCAGCTGTTTGTCCAGTGTTTTTGGAAGTGTGCTGCAAAATTCTATATGACTGTCCAAAAGGAACCTTTTAGGATCATTGAAAAAAGAATTGATTGAGGGCTCTAGATTATTTGCCACTGCATTTCAGGTCGTATGGTTACGATTGGGCTAGTCCTGCAAGGCCCAGCCAGTCATGCTTGGTATAGCTTCCTAGACAGAATTCTGAGAGGGACACAATTTAAAACCATTGCAAAGAAAATACTTCTGGACCAAATATTTGCCTCACCTTTTTTTGCTTTTGGCTTTCTTATGGGTAAGCTGAAAGAGGTATCAGAAAAAAAATCTGAATAGGTGTTAAAGGGTTATTTATATCAAAATATGCATTGAAATGTTTGTTTTTATTGTGAACATGAAATGGTTTTAACTAGAAATGTTTTGAGATAACCACTTCATGGGGATCATCCAAAATAGCATAAAGTCTTGCAATTTAGCAAAAAATCGATCAAAATGTTGCAAGATTAAGAGGAGAGAGGGGTGAAAAATAGTGGCAGACTAGCTAGTATGGTGGTGCAACAAATTAAAGCTAACAACTTATTCATGGATATTTATCTGCTTATACAAATTCACCATGTTTTGTATGCACTTATATGTTGCTTTCTAAGACTTCATTGCTGCTGCATACACAGTTGCAACATTTTCATAAAAATTAACCCAATTTCACCCTGATTCTCACCATTTTTTAGTCTCATATATGCCATGGATTTCTAACAGCCTCATTTAAGGCTATTTCAGATGATTTCCATTACCAGTTTTGCACAAAGATTTAATCATTTCTTTTGTTTTTACATAAAGACTACTTTAGAGCCAAAGAGCACTTGAGTGTTATCACAAATAACTTCTTTTATGTTTAAGTTAATCTAAACAGACATTTTCTTAATCTTAACTCCTTATGACTTTTATAATTCCTAAACCATAACTGTTAAGGTACATGTTAGCATCAATTTTGATAAACCTCACTTCCTCAAAAGTTACTAGTCCAAATTATCCCAATATTGATTATTTTCAAATTATTATTATTATTATTATTATTATTATTATTATTATTATTATTATTATAGGTTTTAGCCGTATGTGTTATTTTTGATGCTAAAACGTGCACTAAAATTTACATGTATATCCTTGACAAAAACTTTTTTTAACACTGTCTGTGTTTATGTTTTGTTTATACCCTTAGCAAGTACAAGTAGTTACCAACATTTTTTGCATCTTTATTTCTGGTGTTAAATTTGTGAAAAATGACTTCATCAGATACTACACAACCAAACTCTTTCTTAATGCACATTTTTGTACAAAAGAAATTACTAGTTTCAATATTGACAACACAAAGTTTATAATTGAAATGTTTGAAATGTTTAATAGCAATTTAGTTTTTATTATGGTTAAAGCATTGCCTTTCATATTCATTTTTATTATTATCTAGGAATGGGTCTTTTAGAAGGGCAGTCATGGGACAAGGGGGTACAGGAATTTAAGTCCAAATTTTGGACAGTTTATATGGTGAGATTCTCAATGCTTACAGCAGGAAAATTGATTTAATAGTTGTCCTTGAAGTTCATTATTTGTATAGAAAATATTTTCATGACATTTGACTGTGCTAGAGCACTGACTGCACTACAGAGGTAACTTGAAAAATATTTGTGATTGGTGAAAAAAGATTTTTTCAATAAACATGAAGTGTTTTTAATTGATATATAAAATGGTGTGTTTTACAAGTGAATAAGTAATACACTTGCTGAGCATTGTATGTAAATTCTTCATTTTAGGAATTTAAAAAGTAAACACTTTTTCTATGCTCACTTTTTCTATACATACAGGAATATGTATATATAAAGATATAAAGTTCTAGACATATATTGATATGTAGTTATGAAATGTCTAAAGCAAGGTTCTATATTCCAGGCTGATTGGACAGTATGGCCAGCTGCTCAGTGCATCAACTTTTATTTTCTACCTCCTAAGCTGAGAGTGATATATGTAAACTTTGTAACATTAGGATGGGATGTATTTTTATCATATATAAAGCATGTAAGTTCATTTCTGTGAAATGGTTTTGTTGGAAGTGTGAAGCAGGAATAATTTTAATGTCTAGCATAATTGTTGACTTTTCTGTTTGGCATCGTTTTTGGTAGAAACGACACTAAACAAAAACGTGTAAACTTACCATGGTGTAAGAGTATCATACATAACTCATTCAGGCTCTACATATTATCACTTTTATCACCTTATTTATTTTAACTATAGTTTATCATATCCCAACATTCATGTATGCATTTGTCACCAAATGTTGTTGCTAGTAGTACAGTAGCATGCACTTTTTTGTTGGAAAAAAAGGCACATTTTAACACAGTAATGTAAATCAGGTCAGAAGACTTCTTTTATGTGCATTGTGCTTTAATTTTCTCTTTTTAGGAGTTCAAGAAGGATCAGGATTGATGACAGTTCTTAGATTTTGGTTATGTAGGCAAGAATTACCACATCAGGGTGAAAAGTTCTCTACCACCTTAGACCAGAAACTTCCATGTATGACGTTGTTAGGTCCAGAAATATTGAAAATAATTATTTCCTCTTAAATGTTTTAGCATTGAGATAAGTCAATAAATTTTAAACATCTCTGTCTGCATTGGACATTTGGATTTCACTCAAAATGTATACAGATCGATTACCTGTAGTAATATCCAGGTTACTCATGTAACCTGCAGGCCGCGTATGTATGTATCTCAGATGATTTGTAGTGTCCATAAAGATTTGGTGTGCTATTTATTCAATCAGGGACTTATTGGCATTATTATTAATGATATTTTATTATAGGGATTTAATAGCTGCAATGTTATAAATTTTGCATATTTCAAAATATATGTAAATGTTTGTTCTTGATGTATTTATTGTTATTCAACAACTTTTATATTTCATGTTGATATAATGTCTTTGAAACTGAATCGTGCAAATGTGATTTCCCATCACATGAAATGCGCACATAATATATCATATTACATTACAAGAAATATTTGTTCACTTATTGCAAAAAAAAAAATTTTTATATTCCTCATTGTTTATGGAGAACCCACATTTAATCTTTGGAGAAAGAGATGAAGTAACTTAAATGTAATGTAACAGTTATGGTTGTAATTGTTATTCAGTTATTAAAGGTCCAAATAGCTAAACCTGTATGTTTATTGGATCTTCTAGTCATGCTAGTTTTGCAGTGAACTGAGTGCTAGGCATAAAGAAGGAATTAAAAATCAATTCTGCAACAAAGTCGATTGCATACAACAGTTAGTAGTATTTTAGAACTACTGTAATTATACATTTTATTTTTCATATGATAATAAATAATAGATCTTTAAAATGAGCATTTGCATAACTATTCAAGTACTGGTAGTCTTGTTGCTAATCATTTCTTTCAAAGACTGTTCAAATGAAGCATGTCAACTTGGTTGTTTTGCTTTATGAATGTTCATGTACTTGAATTTCTTTGGATTTATTCCATAAGCTTTTAATCTTTCCTCTGACATTTGATTTTTCTTAAAGTTTGAACCCCTTTTCTTCTTTTTCTCATTTTTTCCGTGTTCTGGAACAGGAACAGAAGAACTATTCTGTTTCTTCCTTTTTCTTTTTCGTTTATGCTTGGACTCGGACTCCGTGCTAGTAGTGACACCTACAGCCTCAGAGTTGCCACCACCCGTAGGGTCTATTTTTTGCCTTTTATGATGTAATACTTCTTTAACGTCAACCTTCTCATCGATTTTCCTTTTAACCTTTGGTTCTGTGTTGGCACTTATTTTAGCTACTGTTGTATTTTTGTCCATTTCTTTATCTACATTTTGTTTGCATTTCTTTTTTGCCCGTTTCTCACTTCTTTTTGAACTATTGTTTTGTGGTGACAACTTAACAGTGTCTTCTTCCCCTTTAGGACATTTTTTTGGCCTTTCCCCAAGTTCAGTTTTGTTTTCTAGGAATACTTCTTGACCTTTAAAACTGTTTTTCTTCTTTTTTTGTTTCTTCTCATTGGGCTTTGAAAAACCTTTGTTACTGGATAGGGTTGCTGCTGGTTTGGAATCTTCATTCCTAGAAATATGTTCCATGGTAAATATAAATAACATCTATCCCTTAGCAATTGTACTTTAGTTTTGCTTTAACTTTGACACCAGAAGGTAAAATCAAAGACTAACAGATAAATGTTGAAACTTACTTTTAGTTTTAACAAAAAAAAATCAACTATACATTACCACAACTTACTTTTCTGTTAAACTTGTCAGAATGCTTAATTTCTTCTGTACATTTTCACCCTTTTTGGTATACACCTTCACGTCATATTTCTCTTCCTCTTCTGTCCTGAATTCAAAGAAATATGGTTTCACCAAAACAAATTGCAAACCTGCACCTCACTTAAACTGTTTCATTACATGAATTTAAATAATTCCCTAAAACTGATCAAATCCTTAAAACAGAAGCTAGGTTACAGCTGGAAAGTTATAGATGACTTCTGCCTAGATGATGGGGAGAGAAGTGTCTGCTTAAAACATTCCAACATATAATTCTACTGAAAGGAGTTTACATAGTAATCTAATAAAGCTTCCTGCACCAACTGACCTGTACTGATAGGCTTTTTTCAGTGACACCCATCTGTTCAGCTCCTTATCCCTGGCTGTTAGCACCTAAATATACACAGAAAACCACTGAATGTTTAAATAATGTCTTTGAAACTGAATCGTGCAAATGTGATTTGCCATCACATGAAATGCGCACATAATACCAAAATGCCTCTTTTGCTGAGAGACAGTAACTTACTTCAATGATATGATGTCAAGCATCACATAGCCATATCATATTCTAAAATACAAGCTGACTTAAGGTAGGAAAGTGTCAGAACAATCTCTTTAAGGTCTTTTTCACCCCATCAAACAATGGCTTATTCTATGGCAGCAATAGGGTGATATTCATACCTCTTCTGTGGAAAGACCAAAACTGTTTGGGATGACCTGTCTGTATTTGAACCTGCAAGGTGTGTCTCCTATAATGTCTTCATAATCCAGCTTGTAATATTCATCAAAATACTCCTCAAAAGTCTTGTCACCTATTGAAAACGTGAGCAATATGTTAACAAAAGTTTCAGAATCAGATTAACCTAAAATAAAAAATGGGCATTATGCATAGACATAAAATGCTTTGGATGATCCATATAGTCTAATAAAAATACTATTTTTCAAACTGATTAAGCCTTTCAATTGTTCATGTTAGCTGCTAAGAAATCTAGGTCTTCCATGAAAGGATAACTCAGAGGCAAATGCAGCCAGAATTCATGTTGCATCTATCATGAGTCTTGCTGATACTGACTGACTCAGCAGGACCCTCTAGAGATGCTAGTGACACTTGACAAGGTGACAAAGCTTTTCACATACTGAAAATTTATCAGTGCCTAACTTATAGATTTTAAATGTACTGATATAAAAACAAAGCGAGGTTGCCAGGTTGCCAGTATCTTTCTTACTTGGTTCAAACACTGGTTTCTTTTTAAGAACTGCTTCAACAAATTTGGATTTCTTTTTCTTCTTTTTCTCCTTTTGATCTTGACTTGGGTCATAATCTGCATCCATCTGTACAAAGAAAAGCATTTTATGTAATTTTTTTCTTATGAATATAAAATATTAGATAATAACTATGTAAAAAATTATGTAATCAGCGTTGATTGTGATCTTATATCCATGAATTTAAGATCTTGTAAAAAACAATTATGGCATTTTGCTATTGGTAAATATGTTGTTTTGAAGACATATTGGCCTCAACCTAATTCATTCTTTGTGAAACATTGTACAAAAAGGTTTAAGCATCCCAAAATTGTCTAATACTAAAGAAATGTAATAACAAAGGAGGCAATTCATCATTGAAATCTAATGTATATGCTCAGAAATCCAGGTTTTCCAGAGGAAGATAACTATAGGAGGCAAATGCTCATAAAATTGATGTTGCGCCTATCATGTGTCACTAATCATGTGACTGATACAACATGACCTGCTATAGGTAGATGCACCAGATTATCAATATAATACCAGCAACATACTATCGTCACTTCTGACTACTTACAATGAAGTCTGCATCTTCACAGTGTGGTTCTGTGTAACTATCTTCTCCTTCAGGCTCTTCCTGGTATCCACTCCAGTCATCGTAACTCTCTGAAATACCAAAATTACACTCAGATGATACCAATATCTTTGTGTATGATACAGTACTTGCATGAGTGCAGATACAGTATTGTCAATTAGCTGTACATAAAGAAGTACACACAGCACTTGTAAACAGATACAAGTACCAATCAGTAGGCACTGCCACAACAAACAGCAATAATAATTATAGTAAATATACTAGACTATGCAAATGTCAAACCTAGTGTGACGAGAACTTCAAGTCTAGGGGGAAAAATGACTGAAACACCTGTAAAAATACACCAGGCAGCATATGGGAGACCCCCTGATGTGAATACAATATATTTACAAGAGAACCACCTTATGAATTCACAGTTCCCAGACTTTAGAAACAGAATGAGGATTAAGATGGGGATTAACTATTAAAAAAAGGCATCCAGTTATGATAATTTTAATGGCATATACAATCAACTAACCCACATACTGAAGCTTTTAAGATATTTCTTAATAATTAAATTTTAAATGGGTATTAAAACGAAAAAGTGGGTTACTTGCCTTCCACTCCTAGATCTTCTTCAAATAAAAACTCCGGTTTCGTCTCTTCTTCTTCCCCTCCATAATAATCTTCATCAAAAACTTGCTTTAAAAAGAGATAAAAATTAATATTTGATTGCCAATATAAAAATCATATTTCTTAAAATGTTTACATCTGCTTAGAAATATAATATTTATTCTGTGCATGTGATTTACACTTATTAATTTAAACAAATATGATTTTAATCATTACGGAAACTGAGAATACCAAACAAATACTAAACCTGCAGCTATAGCATCATCAAATAAATGAAAACCGTAAAGAAAGTTTTGTGTCTGTGCACGTCTGCATCTCACCTGCATCATCTTATCATATTCTGCTGGGTCAAAATCTGCCTCTATGTCCTTTTTACTGAAACCAACACTGGGATTCCCTGTGATCTCCTTCAGTTTCTCCAGCTTGTTCAAAATCTCTTGCTTCTTTAAGTTTTTTAGTTGCTTGATTTCTTCTTTTTTCCTATTTTTTTCCTTAAGAAGACAAGTTCAAATATGATTTCATATTTCAGCAAAAATTACTGACAATTATTATGCATTCCTGTTTTAAAAGAACAACAGACAAAGATGTAAAAAATATCTTACTTGTTCTTTCCTTTCCTTTAGTTCTTTTCTTTTCTTTGTCCTCTTTTCATCTTTTCTCCTCACGGATGCTTCAATGGTTCTTGGATAGCTTTTGATCTAAAATTAGACTTAATACAATTAATACAAACAGGAATTAAATATATTTGAAATATCAACGTCACACAAAGTCATGTTACACACTAATACTACAGTCATATATATATATATATATATATATATATATATATATATATATATATATATGCATATATATATATATATATATATATATATATATATATGACAAAACCAAATACAACATACTAGTTCAGCATCAGGTTCCTCAAATCTGAAATTGTATTTCCTTTCAAACTCCTCTTGCTTTTCCAATTCCTTTTCTTCCTCATCAAAATCGTTTTCATCCTCATTCACAATCTCATGGTACATTGGGATCCTGACAAAGAAGAAATCTAGTTGTTCTTAATTATCCAATGGCATTTATTTCACATCACAAATGATTGACTCAAATTACTTGAAAAAGAAATGCATCTACCTACTTCTGGATTTGGAGGTAGTCATATTCTTGTATTGGGCACCAAGAATATCATAAGCATTGGTTATAAGCACCAAAATGAACATTAAATCATTATCACTCATACTATTTACCCAGACCACTCACATATCTGAGTTTTAATGGCATTGTTCTATATTGTTAAAAAAAAAACAAAAACAAAAACAAATGCTGTACCTGTCTTCATCATCTTTGTCAATGTACTTCTTGTTGAGGATGTAATCTCGAAGGAATTTTTCTCCTTCATCTAAATCAGGCTTGTTCCAGTACTTCTTCAATGAAGACTGAAAAAATATAATTTTAAATGATAAAAAAATCCTACTGCATAATTTATTTAAACCCATTTAAACACATTTTACTTACAGCAATAATCCTTACAGAACTGTACTAGCAAATAAACATGATCAAAGCAGATGACTTTGTCCTATGCCTTAAAAAACCTACCAGGTCTGAATCAATAGTGTCTCCTGGTTCTTCTTTTTGACCTTTGAGCCACTGTAGATAGTCTGCCTCTTCCTGCTCCTAAAATGAGATTCAAATTTACAATGGACATATTTTAACTGCAACAATTTTACATATTTTAAATAATGAGCTAACATTTTTCACTGCTTTACCCAATTTATCTTGATAAAACAGAATAGTTCTTTACATAGAGGTTAAATAACATAACACTTGTTTAACCCACGTTATTTAATCTCTAATGAAGAGTAATTCTGCTTTCATCCCATCTAAAGACCATAAAAAAATGTCATGGTATAAAAAGCCATTTTTATAAAAGAAATCTTATTCACTTCATAGAAAGTTTATATTGCATCCATTATAAGTCCTGCTCATTAAATACGAAATGACTGAAAAGTTTGGCTCTCTAGAGATGCTAAGACATGCACTGTTTCCTAATGATGCCACTTGAGTCTATAGCATATAACATTCCTATTTTTATTTAAACTGTAGCAAATACAGGACAGATAGAATTGAGATGAACATTTGTTGCATAGCCTGGGAAAGTTATGTACCTTTTCTTCTTTGGTTTTCTTTCTATGGTGCAGAAGCTCGCTGTCAGAATCTTCATCTGAATCATTGATGGCAGCCTTGATACTACAACAGAGAGGAGAGAAATAACACTGTAGGTGTTTTAAAACTTTCAGTGTACCAGGACCAAAATCAAAATTATTAGTATTATATTAGTATTAATAATTATTAGTATTATTATGTATATATAATACATAATTTAATTAAAACTGTTTTACTATTTGATTCTGTGGGATTAGAGTACCATTCAAATCAAAAGAATGGATTACTCATTGACAAGTCCTAGTAATGACTAGCCTAAAAATGCTATTTTATTTGTGTGGTTGCGGAATGATATGATACAGAAAATCTGGATTGTACAAATCTACTTGAACTGGCAGTAACTACTAGAACTACATAATCAGTGAAGGTTAATTACCTCTGCCTGATTTCATCCTGCTCCTCATAATAACTGGGACCTTTGTACTCCTCTTCATTCCCCTCTTCACTATCACTCTCTTCATCACTGAGCTGACTGGAATAGAAAACATGACGTTCAATAGAGCTCATAAAGAGCCAGATGGGAAAAACTGAAAATGGCCTCATTATATCATTTATATTTTATCAGTGCATTGCTAGCATCACTACAATCATTTTGTAAGCTTGGCATTTACATTATCTTACATAATCTTCAGTTAATTTCAACTGGTTTATAATCTCAACCTATTTCCAGAATAGGGGGAGTTCCGTCAACAGAGGATTCCTTACCCTCCCTTTTCAAGAATAACTTTTCTTTCATAATCCTTTAAATATACTGGCTTTTCTTTTGTCATTCTAGATGTCTCCTCTTCAGGCGATTTTTCATCTGAAAATAAACAATTTATATCAAATTAATCATACATATCTTTTTATAATTATAAACACTTCAAAAAAAAAAACCTGTTGTCAAAATTCCTTCTGAAATGTCAGGCAGACAGCCATTGTAAATGAATGATTTACTAACAACCAAGTTTTTTTTACATTATTACGTTATTTCAAATAAAAAAGCACAAAATGTACCCAAGTGTGGGGATGGGTCAACCAATATGATTCATAAGTAGGAGAAATCTGATGGCTTTTTTTTTTTTTTTTTTTTTGTTAATGAAAATTCAAACTAACAGGAAAATCTCACACAGGATAACTTTTAACATACCGTCACTATTATAAAACTTGACTTCCTTGCTGTATATTTTGGGATCCCTTGTCTTGACAGCAGCATATGCCTTTAACCATCCTTTTTCCACTTCCTCTGTCAAAGCCTACAAATCAAAGTGATACAGGTAAAATAGTACATTGTTATGCACATATGGCATGGTTAATAGATACAAATTGAAATGCATGTGAACAAAAAAAAAGGACACCATTTTACATATTCCATGTCCAACAAGATATAAATATGAAAACCTTTGCAGTGAATAAGGCACAATGACTATAAACACTGGTCTGAACAATCGTAAAGAGTGTTAAGAATAGAAACTCAGTAGCAAACGTAAGTTACTGTCTGCTGCAACCCTGTTTGGATTCACTGCATACATTTAATTGTTTGGCTAATACCAATGATCGGCACAGTTGTGTAATTTTTTTAATATTTGAAAGCCAAGTTTTCAATACCATTTTGTCACCTTCAATTGTAAGAACTCAATTTACCTCTGCATCATCATCTTCTGACTCTGAGGAAGTCGTATCCTCATCAATTTCCACATCTCCATATCTGTCTTTTACTGCAATGGATTTAAAGGGATTTAAATGAATTCAACACTACATATGATTGCTTTTGTTCCTATAAAAATATGCATATACTGTAAGTAGAAGTACAGTGAGGCTGCCAATTCTTCTTTTGAAATCCTCAAACAGTGGGAATAGACGGCAAAGTTGGCAACAAATCCAATGGCAGTGCCAGTGCAAAATTTCCTAGCCATTACTACTACACGCAGCACATGTTTGTTGTACATGTGCCATTAGATTAGTTAATTACCGAACATTTCCACTGATTTACTGTAGATCCAAGCGTCATGCATCTTTTACGGTTTCGAATTGTGTTGCCCTTATCAAATTTTTTTAAAATATATGAAGTTGTTTGATGTATATGTCATATATGCTTGTAATTGCTTACATTTTTGAAGCTCTTCCTTTTGTCTCCATGTATTATATTTCGCAGCATATTCAGTGTTTATGCGAAAGCCGGAGTCGTCATCCATGCTGTTCCACACTTCCGCTATGTTGCATCTTGGGAGTTATTTGCAGACGTCGCCTTCCGGCGTGGGGGATTCGGAAGATTAATTTATAATTATGGTCAATAAAGGATAATAAGAACGGCAGTGTGGAGCATAAGGGCCTGTATCTCATTTAATACTGGTATGGTTTATGAAAAACACTATTTGTACGATCAGTATTTTGGTCACTACTGTATGAGAAAACGGTCAGAAACACGTCCAACAATCGTGTGAAATCGTGTGTACTGACTGTGTGTACTCCTTCTTGCCGCCGAGTACTGGTGATTTTCTACAAAAAGCTAGTTAATTACCACCACTGAAAGTTTAATTCAATAACTACAAGATCTGAAATAAAGATGTGCGAGTAAAAATTGGATGAGATTGGATAAATTTTTGGTCTCCATCACTTTTAATTTACTTGATATTTGTAAAACCACTCATATATTTGGTGTAATATTTATGAACTTTCTAGGCAACAAATTATACTTGTTAATGAAATTAGAATTATGCTTTAGTTTCCTGTGTTGGGTACCCTACAGTCTATGGCGGTCAAGTCTATGGATGTAGATAATGTACATAATTTATAATACTTTGAACCTAAGATCTAATATACCGTTTATTAGATCTTAGTTTGAACATACAGGGTATATAGTACTGGTACATGGAATGATGTACATGTATATTTTTTGTTTGTGTCAAGAATATAAATGCACATATAAAAATATTTGGTAGAATTCAGTGAAAAACCAACATGGCAGTCTCACCCTGAGACCTATCACCTGGTTTGATTGTCACTGAATGCATTGTAGCATTTTATATTGAATTCACTGAATGATTAAGAATCCACTCAGTTATGTTTTTGTACCTGTCCTCAATTTTATTTTTTCAGAGTTGTGAAGCAGGATGAAAATAAAGAAATCTGTCTTCATTCTGGGTTGTGTTTGCCTAGAGGTATTGGGTTTCTTGGTTTTTCTGAAAGGGTTTTTCCCAGTCAAATCAGCAATATCAGGTAACATTATACTGGGTACATTTGAAAAAAAAAAATGAATTTCAAGATAATTGTATGAATGTTATCACTGTTCAGTTTATGGAGCAATTTGTGGCATTCTGTTAAACTGATGATTGGTGTTTTACAACAAAGATGGATAAAGAGCATAGTATAAATCAAAAGTTAGACTAATACATTCTATATGAGTAACGTTTTTGATATTTTATCTTAAATACCTTTATCTACTGTTCAAGTTTGAAACCGCATCATAAGTGAAATATTTGATTGAGGAAAGTTAAATTTAATGAGTGTGTGGGAGGGGGGGGGGGTGTTTCATCACATTTTTATATTGTTCATGATAAGGGTAATACATGTTTTATTTTGATATGTTTCAGGTCATGCATCTTTCATGGATCTACCACCTCAGCCAATACAAGACAAGTTCACCCAAACTGAAACTCCTTCACTCCCAGTCCCACCCTTGTTTGGGAGAATGGTCATTGTTTTAATAGATGCACTGAGGGCAGATTTTGTTTTCAATACCACCAAAGACCGGGGCATGCCTTATGTTAAAGATCAGATTACTAAACAAGAAGCTGTGAGTTTTGTGGCTAAGGCACATCCTCCAACTGTAACTATGCCAAGAATAAAGGTTCGTGTTTTAAACTGATTTTAATTTGTGAAGATAATATTATTACATGTCTATTTAGTGATACCAATGGGATTTTTAAATTTAAAACAAAGGTTTTACATGTAGATCTAAGTATTACAGTCAGTCTGAGATAGATTATTATATATAACATATTAATCTAAAGAGAAATGAAAAACATTTTTGTTGCAAGGTGATAGTCAGAATTGTCTTTTTAAAGTACTATTTTGCTAATTGGTTCTTTCTAGGCAATGACTACTGGGGGAATACCAGGTTTTATAGATGTGGTACTCAACTTTGACTCTAAATCTCTGACTGAAGACAATTTTATCACACAGCTTCATAGAAATGGGAAGAAAATTGTGTTTTATGGAGATGACACCTGGATCCGTTTATTTCCTGGGCATTTTCTCCGTGAAGATGGGACTACTTCATTCTTTGTTACTGACTATACTGAGGTAAAATGTTGAGATATTCTTATTCTCATATTCTTATTTGTACTTACCTATAAGTAAAATGACTGAAGAGTGACTGGAAATTTTATACTGATTAATGTTTTTTCTGACATTTATTTTTTAAAGGTTGATTGATGAAAAAGGAAGGTTGACATATTGGTTTTAACGTATAAGGGAAATACATTGAATTTAGCCCATCTGTTAGTTTGAAGAGGTTATGTAACATGATTGATTGATTGATATAAAACCTGAAATGTTGGCATTACATGTTTTAATGTGAAATGATATATGTTAGTATGATATTTTTACTTTGGTTATTAAAGGTAGATGACAATGTCACTAGGCATTTGCCAGATGAGCTGGAGAGAACAGACTGGGATGTCATGATCCTTCATTACCTGGGCCTTGACCACATTGGTCATCTGGCTGGACCACATAGTCCACTTATGGGACCAAAGTTGAAGGAGATGGATGGAATAATGGAGAAAATACACAAAGCTGTGATAAAACAGGTTGGACTTATAGTTATTATAGAAGAGCTGTCTTCCTTCTCTTTTAATACAGAATAACTTACACTTATACAGTTAGATAGATACAATTAGTGTGATTTTTAGCAATAGTCTATCCTGTTTGTAACTTTCTGGTTGATAATTCATCACACATTTTTAAGTGGAAAGTTTTCTCAGATTACATGGCCTGCACTTTACTGCTATATTGTCACTGTAGGTGTATGTTTAGAAAGTACTGTTGTAGGTGATGATGTCAGTTTTTTCACATTTAATGTCCAGTTGTTGTTTACCAGGACAGTGACCTAGAGCTGCCCACCCTTGTGGTCCTGTGTGGAGATCATGGCATGAGTGACCAGGGAAGTCATGGGGGGTCTTCTGTTACTGAAGTCTCCACACCACTGGTTTTGCTCAGTTCACTCTACTCAAACAAGAAAGGTAGTAGAGGTTCTGTTGTTCAGATGTTTGAAATTGTTATCCTTGACCATTTTTAAAAAGTAGAAAAATTGGTTTACAGTCCCTTTTCCTGATACTATTATAAGTATACAAGTTAGCTTAACATTTGCCCATTTTAATGCTCATTTTTATTGAAAGCACGGAACATATGGGTTTGTGGACTTGATAAATCCCTTAATTATTTGTTAGGTGTCCAGTTTGATTGGTCCACACTCCAGCAGATTGACCTAGCGCCCATTCTGTCCACCTTGATGGGGGTTCCCATTCCCCAGAACAGCCTGGGAGCACTGCCCACAGATGTCCTATGGAAGTATGACTTGAGACTGGCACTGAGGGCAATGCAACTGAATGCACACCAAGTGGCCCTTGTGTACAAACAAAATGTGGCCAATTATGAAAAAGGTGAGAACCAGAATCCATGACCTGCAAGTGTGGCATTGTATTTGCTGTGTCACTTAAGCGTATATTTAATTTAAAGTAAATGTTTAATTTTTTTCAATTGTGAAAACAAAGACTCATATCTTTTCAGTTTAATGAAATTTGGTATCAGGCAAAATAATATTTTCAAAATTTGAATTTTTTTTTCTGTCATTTGGTGAAAAATCCCTGTGCTGACAAGAGTCAAGGACATGAAATCATAATGATTACATGACTACTGAGAGGTTGTAGATTATTGAAAGAGAACTTTTAGTTTTCTTTTCAGTTTTTTTTTTTTTTTCATAATAGTGCCAAAACAAGTTTTTTTGTGGAAAATCCTGCAGTATTACACTTTTGCTTACATTTGCAGTAAAATGTGCTTTTTCTTTTTCTCTATTTCAGAGTTTGTTTTTATTCAGTATGAGCAAGCCATCAAAAAACATGAATCATGGCTTCAAATGTATTATAACAAAGAAGTAGCTCTTGATGAGCAGTCAGCGTATCATGTTATGAAAGCTTACAGGGATTCAGTTGTTGCCATGAGAGACCAAGTTGCAAGATCCCTAGCCAGCTATGACCTGTATGCTATGACAATAGCTATCTTCCTCCTTTGCATGGTGAGTTATTGCATGGTGGTGGGATTTATGAATCTTGCATTATTATCTTTTACCTACTATATATTACATGTAGTTGCATAACCCATTACGTATGAATGGAGAAAAATTGTAACTTACCTCCCTATTCAACTTGTCCAGTATTGAGAGCAAATAGTCATGGCCCTCTTTTGCCAAACATTAAAGATTTTTGTCTCTTGGTATATGTAAATGAACTCTGTTTATACATGGATTGTTAACTGACAACTTTTTCATTACAGGTACCAATGGGAATTCTTGCTGCTCTCTTCTCACCAGATGGCAGTAGTGTACAGGTCCCCAGTTGTGGCACTGTGAGGTGGTTGTGTGTGGCCAGTGGTGTGGTAGCAGTGGCAGGGCACTTCACTGTGTGCACAACCTCTTACAAGAGTGAGCTGCTGTGTCCTGGGACCAGTGGTTTTCCTGCTGTTATTCTAGTTGTGGTAACCGGTGGTATTGTCTTCACCATGGGAGCCAGTGGGATACTTTTGTTTACAGCATTTTTGGCTGTAGTGAGATCGTTATTGATGCAGGTGATTTTCTTTTGAAATTCATGAAGTGGTGTTGGATATGTATATCAAGTTAAATGGAAAAAGTCAATAAAAAAACAGCAACATGTTTTAGGCACTTGTATTTTGATAAAACTTTTAACACCAGCATATTTCAAGTTTATCCAGTAGGTACAATTTTATCTAACAGTTTTTTATATGGAAGTTAAGATAAGCACTGGTATTTCTTGCTGAATGATGTTTTCGGAATCTTATTTGACTAGCTAATCTTTCAAAGCAGTATTTTTTCTATTCCAGATGACCAGGCTACCAATTCTTACAAAATGCTTCCTGCTAGGAAACGTCTTACACACTATAAGCTTGTTGTCCAGCAGTTTTGTGGAAGAGGAGCACCAGACCTGGTATTTCTTTACCATGACAGTACACATGGCTATCACCGGCCTTGCTATATGGAGTTACAAGGACCAACTAGAGGATGAGAACAAAATATCAGGTGCTGTTTCTACGACTCTAAAAGATGCTTGTAACACTGACCAAACAAATTGCAGGAAGCATGACCAGAAGCATGCAGAACAAACAGGAAATTGTTTCAGGACAGTGGTGCATCCCTCCTCTGAACTTCATGAAATCAGCCCTGGTAATGAACTTCACAGAAATACATCAAGTGTGTCAAATGAAAATACTGGAAATTCAAGGAGAAAAGCATCTTCACATGTTAACCATTGGACTGTGTTTGGAATGCTTATAGTTCTGATGCTTTGTCGCTTGCTTCGTTCATGGAACCAGACTGGGATAAAATGGGCAGATCAGACTGATATTGGGGACTGGTTGGTCAGGTAACAGACATTGAAGTTGTGTTTTGAAATGAGTCAGCTATATAATATACCATAATAAATAAAATCTGCATAAATTGATATACATCTTTTTGCATTTTGCTTCTACAAAATAATTTTGATGTTGTTCATGCACAAGTACTTAATTCTTTGCAGTAAGTACTTATTTCATATATATATATTTTGATATGATTCTGCTCTATAATATTGTTCATTTCTATTTGCAGCCCTGAAAACAAATCGGCCTTATCTGTGATAGTTGTGGTTTCTCTTGCTGTGATCACTTTCCTTTTGATGTCACTCACAGATGACCACTTTCTGAAGATAATGGTGTTTATTGCGGCAGTGGGAATTTCTACCTTCAAAGCTGCAAATGGTGGTCTTGTGTTACCTGGAATATATTCAGAAGTCACAAAGTAAGAGGATTGTGTCAGTTGTATAGATTTGCAGAGTTAAAATGTTTTTTACAAATTTACTGTCAGATCTGATTTAGATAGGCCATAATCAGTGTTTGAAATTGAATTTACTATTATCAACAAATTTGTAAATTCCATGAATATAATGTAATGTTTCAACATTAAAAATATCAATTGTCAATATAAATTAACTAATTTTTGTAACTTTTTTTCATTACTAAGAAACTGTTGACAAACTTTTTCTTGCTTTCTAGAGGTGTGCTGGAAGCCAGGGTTGTTTATGCTGTGGTAGCATTAAGTCTTCTGTATACAGCTCACAAGACTGTCAGGAATCTCAAGTTACAGCCATATAACACACAAACATTTTTACAGCTGACAAAATCGCTTTTAGTTTTATGGACATTGACCATAACATTGCTAATGAGACCACATAACATTCCCCTGGTTGCACAGATACTGCTGCAGCAAGTTTTGATCTCTCACTGTGTTGTTGATATTGTGGAAGCATTTTCTGAAGATTCCAGTGTGATATTTTTATATATTTGGATGGGAAATGCTGCATTCTTTTACCAGGTGAGACATAATGTATGCATCATAAGAATACAGTTTATAATGCATTAAACTTAACCGTTGTGCATACATGCAGATAAGCACACATTAATAAAAAAAAATACTTTTTTCTGCTTATACATATTTATATGTACAAAATATATATTAGAAATTTGAATAATGATGGAGCTCTTAAAAGTGGTATAATAATAATAATAATAATAATAATAATTATTATTATTATTATTAGTATTATTATAGTAACATGATAATGATAAAATCGTAAGGTTTGAGATGTGAAAAAATGGTTAATAAGGTAATTAAAAGATAATTAGAATTTAAGTTTAAAATTAAAATGAGTAACAGCTAAAGGATAAAAGATCTATAAAAACATTGGCTATTGTTTTGTTTGTAAAGAATATGTAGCATTACGCTATGATTTTAAATCAACATAAACTACAGTTATCCTAAATTGCTAGTCAAGAATGGGAAAGAACTTCCATTTTACTATTATTTTGTCACTTTAATAGCTTTCCAATGCAACATGCATTCCAGGGAAACTCAAACAACATTACAACAGTTGATGTATCAGCTGGCTATGTTGGTTTAGATGGATACAGTCCTGTCTTGATTGGGACACTAATGTGTGCTGCCACCTATGCAGGGCCAGTATTCTGGTTCCTTGCATTGTTGGTGAAACTAACAGAGAGATGTGTTCTACGTGGTAAAGTTGGGAAGCAGTTAAGGGAAAGGTAGGAAAACATGTTTGCTAATATTCCCATGAATAATGGATAGAAGTAATTTATGTCTTGTTTTTAGCAACTATTCCAGCTTAATATAACTGTGTAAAGGCTGTTAAGCGAAGTGGGTATCTTAATGAAAATTATCAAGTTGTTGCCAGTTATTGTTGCCAGTTGTTTTGAAAGTAAATAAAACTTTTTATTTCTCTTTTGGATTTCAAGAAAATACTTCCAAAGAACTCCTAAGGGAAAAGATGTTCTATATTTAAATTTGTTTATTTGCAGCTTTATTCAGCTAGCATGTCTACTCATTTTAAGTCAGAGTATTCCCAATGCCGTGTATACAGTTCTAGTCACACTCCAACGGTACCACTTGTTTGTGTGGAGCGTCTTCTCTCCGAAGCTGCTATATCAAGGAATGACATTGTTGGTGACTTTTCTGCAAGTGGTGTTTATTTTTATGGCAAGTTTTATGCTTGAAAAAGTTCTCTTAATCACGAATTAACACCTTCATGGAGAACAGTGTTGTATTAATGAAAGGGAAAACATCAAGTGAGATTTTAGGGGAGAGTGGAGTATGGTACATTCCCCAACTAGCAAGTGTGGTGCAACACTGAGTAAAAGCTGATGGAATAAAACTGTGAGCATTTTCCAGTTGTTTTCTAGAATTATGTTGAATTATGGTAATTACTTTTATGACTTCAGTAAAAGTACCACAAATGATATGTAGAAATAAAATGATTTAATGAATCCAAAATTATGTAATACAATCTGAATGATTGATAATTTTTACCCTTTGAAAAGATCAAGTCATTACTGTAGCCTTTTACACATTTGCTAAAAAGATAGATAAGTAATTTTTTCTTAATGAGTATATTTGAATTTTATCAATTATATTCCATTTGATATGGTTTGGGCTTTTAGGGTCTACTTGGATATCTCAGCTTAATAATGCATATTCAGTATACATTAATTCACAGAATATCTGATCAGATGCTCAGTGGAGTAATGTGTACATGCCTTGATGCTTTATCTACACTCCCAACAAAACCAGTTATGATAAGTTGAATTTTATTGCTAATGTGAGGAAATGTTTAACATCATTTTTTTTTTTAATTTACAAATTTTGGATTGCTGCAGCTGCAGATAGCTCATCTGGATATGGTGAAATAAACACATACAAGTTCAATACGTACATATTCAAATGTGTAACATTTTTATGTACTTTCCCATTGTATTAGCCCATCACATTGTAAGACTGCAGTCCAACCTATTTTTGATATGGCAAAAAATTATATATTACAAATATTAAGATATATCCAGAAATAAAAAAAAAAACTTCTGCTATACTATGATATGGATTCATGTTTTCATTATTTCAAATGAAAAAAGCTTTATTTTAGCTACATCTTAATCTCAATGCCTGTTGTTTCAAATGAGGGTCATCCTAAGTTCTACCACATTGTCAAATAATCAAATATGTATATTTTCTGTAATGTTTTCGAAACGGGGGTAAAATTAAGCGTTATTTGCTGTCGCTGGTCATGGATTTCACGCCTGAATGTCACAGAAAAAAAAGCATCAATATGATGTCTCAACTAACACAGCAGTGACCCTTGGGGGGAATTCATCTATGTGAAATATGAGAATGCCAGCTCCTGTTTACCTTTTGGACAGGTATATACTGCGCGACAATTGGCGCAATCCTGCATAAAGTGTAATGGCATTTAGCATGAATTAATGTAGTTTAAAAACAGGTCGGGCAAGTTTTGGGATGTAAATTGTTTCGCTCTTTTAAAGGAATGTTGAGATATCCCACGGTTGACTGCAGGTAATAATTACCCATGTATGGTAACGGGTTGTATGCATTATCCTCACTGGTATCCGGCCTCCTGTGACAACTTGGAGTGTTAAAGGATGGTTTCTGAGCGCTACTGCCGACCCGACCCACTTTGCACACCTGGTGAAGTCTGATGGCTCGACACACATGATTTTACTCAGGACAGCTACTTAGATTTTAGGAGCAGCGCACTGTACACAAAGACGACGAGGTAGGCACTTCACTACAATTTTTGTTCTTTATATAGGGGTCAAAACTCTTAAGTTAAAGTTACGGGTCTTTAAGTGTTTTGTTGAAGTTAAAAGTGTACGTGCTATTTGAGGGCAGGTGTTAAATGTAGGGGAATTGCAGTTCTCCCCTACATCAGGGTATGGTTAGTATGGTTGGGGTATGTGAACTTCTGATGCATTTTAATGTTCCAACACCCATTGAGTTAAATGGAATATTGGGTCATTACGAAAGGTGAGTCTAAGGTGAGGCTATCACTATTATTGTAACACAAGCATGATCTTAGCCCGCCTGCGAACTTGTAATTAAAAAATCAGGTAGTGCATGGAACTACCATGCGAGACTATATTTCAAAATAGCCCATGTCATTTTTGATACACAATATAACTTTCTGTCATGTTTGTTTTTATTGTACATATTTGGCAAGTTCCTGTATTGAGTGGTGTTATAGCAGGTGACTTGAACATGCACCGGTAATGGGCGACCAAGGGGGCTAATAGTAAGACAAGAACTAGTTTTCTTTTAGGGCGGAGACTGAATATGTATCCTCCAACTTTGTGTCAATATCAACTGCGCTTTATCAGGCAGACGTTTTTGTACGTCTACAGCATGTTGAAAAAGAGATCATCTTTCATCTAGGTATAGAATGAGGAAGAAAAAAGCTCCCTTTTTCTCTTAAAGAATATTGTGAAACTTTTTCCACCTCGGGAAGATGCACAACGTGATGTGTATTGATGAGTCTTTTACGATTATCATAACAAAGACACTGCTTATCTCGTGTCGGTGTACTGAGGAAGACGATTTTTTAATTGGTGATTTTAAAAAAAATATCTTTACGACTGGATGACTAACATACATGGTATTTATGCTTTGTTTAGTTATAAAAGTTGATAGTTATTGCAGCCCCTTATGCGTACATGTATTCTTCATATCATTTTGGTGTATAATTACACCACCACCACCGCCGCCTTCCCCCCCCCCCCCTCTTTCTATGCGTGTGTGTGTGTGCGCGCGCGGATGTTTTTACTTTTAAAATTTTAATCGGAAAATATTTCCATTCATCGGTAAAATATCCTGACTTGCTGACGATAATGGTATGAACTTGCATAATGGCAGGGAAGCGACCTGTGTATCTGACTCTCTCTATATATATAATACAAATGAGACGCAGAATGTCAATTACAAGGCATTTTCAACACCTAATAACTGATTATTTCCCTACTATTACCCGAGGTCGTATTAATCACCCTCTTACAAGATGATCATAGACGTTACACCTGATAATCAGATCATCCGCTAGTGGTCAAATCTCAACTTATATCTGGCACAATGCGAAATCCAGTTCACTAAATTCATTATATGTTGTGTACACAATTCTACTAATTAACACGGCGTTTCTGACCAACTTTTTGACGCCTTATTCAAGATAATATTGTCATACTTCATTTCCATTTTCTAAACTCGATTACATGCCATTGGTATTTCGCACGACCTTTAGCAAACCCTCACAAGTCACATTTAGCTGCAAGATAATTAATGAGATATTAAAAATATTTGAAAGTTCCGTATGTCTAAAAGCTATTCCATATTTATATAAAAAGTAAATCTGTCAATTTGGAGGACGCACCCTTGCGTTTGAAGTCTACGTCTGTACATTGCATCAACACCGGGCTTAATGCAGCAATAATGTCACTGCGTTTACTGAATTGATTTTAAATTCAGAGACTAATAGTAAATATACACGTCCTCATCATTTTAAATTATCATGAAATGACTCGGTGAGTATGTCAGTGACTTTGGAAAAAAAATCGAAACATTCACCATGTTATCCACTAAAAATATACATATCTCATTATGGGCGTAACTTTGGATATTAGATTGACACCATTTTCTTTATTTCTTTTCTCTTTAAAGAGACCTTAAAAGACTTTTTATGTGTGCTCACTTTGGGTAGACTTGAAGGATGAACAATTAGCTTAAATTGATATTATGTATATGTTGCATTGTACTGTCTATTCATCTTAATCCAGTGGCGATAGCCAAGGGTCTTTCAAGTGTGATTCATGGACCAAATAAAATGATGAGTCTTCTAATGAGTGAGAATCACACGTTTATTTTAAGAACTGCCTGGCCCTAAACCCCAAAAGACATTTGAGTAAGTGACGTAGATGATATGTTGACGGGGAGAGAAGGCTGGGTTCACGAGGTAGATTGATGAGGGTGGGACAGACACAGGTTGCAACACGGGTCCAATAAGACAACATAACCTGGATAATGTTTACACTATATCATTGCTTACTAGTGACGCATTACTTTCTTGTGGGACGTGTGTAAACCAATATATTTAGGTCTCTCTCTCTCTCTCTATGTAGCCTATATATATAAAGTACATAATTTCTATTTAGCTCAAAGAAAAGCTATCAGCAATCACGGTAAGTTGTAAGAAGATAAGCGCTATGCCCAGGGTGAATCGAAATTATATGAGTTTAATAACAAGTTAGATTTAGATTTAGGCATTGGCCGTAGGTAATGTCAAACGACCGTAGACAAAGTGCAGTAAGTTGATGCAGTCGAGTTTTTGAAGATGTTGTTTGAGATATTTGTGTGGAATATTCAACAGAGGTATGAAATATTAATTGTTTGGTTCTAAGATCACGGTTTTTATGCGGATTTATGCGGTTTGATGGATGCCTTCCTTTTGCTTGTGGTTTTATATCTTTTGAATTCAGTAGTGGACTGATTTAGGTGCTACGTAAATTCAAGTGTTACAAAAGAAAATCTGTTTGCGGTGAACCCAAATCACTTTTATTTAACAGAAACTAGCTATCCTTTTTTTTCGAGGAATACACAATACTTAAGGATTTCTCCACTGTGCACTGTACATCATCATTCACAGCGACTGATTCACATCAGATTTCTTTTTTAATATCACCTAACCTGAACGCGTGATATATACATGCCGTCTGATATCAAGATGGACCGACTGACTATTATCTCCCCACCTGTCTGATAAAAAAATGTTGGATATTATTCATCCGTGACATTAGCACAACTGCGTTATGTGCCCTAATGCGTGGCATCATGGTTGTTAGACCTTTTTAGAATTGTTGTATTTTGTCACTTGTAACTGTTAAAAGTTCCTCCTAGGGCATCCTCCTCTCGCTGCTCCTTATTTGAGAGGTAGTTTAAAAGAACAATGTTTTTGTTTTTGGACAACTTTGCACAAAGAAGTTATATTCTTAACATTGGCAATAAAATCTAGTATTCTTTTAAAATGAATAAGTGCGATAGATGTAAGTGCTTTTCTTTGTAATAAATTTTGACAGAGGTTTTTGAAAATTAAAAAGAAAACCTACAGTTCACTTATATTGATTCATATTTTCTATTTACTTGAAATTATGTCCTTATCTAGAGACAACGTCGTCTAACCCTTCTGAGCATTATAACTTTTGTTAATATGGCATTATTATCTCATCATCAAAAGACTGTACCCATAATTGTAATTATGACATTACTGCGTCATCATTAAATTACTGTACTCATAATTGTAATGAGAAAGCTAACAGTTACATTCCTGTATCGATGTGATAGAGTTTAAGATGAAATTTAAAAAAAAGAAAAAAATATATATATACCAAAATAATTGAAATATTGACTTTTAAAGATCTACATTTTTTATCAGTTGTAGTGATTGATAAAGCAACATTTTATTTTTTAATCTTCTATTTTTTTTTTTTTTTAGATTTTTCTAATTTAGTAACTCTTAGACTCATAATTTTAGAATTTCTTTAGCTAGTTGTATTTTTTATTTTTTACTTTTAATTTGTCATTTTTACATCTAGTTCAATTGTCATTTTATCTCTTAATCTGTAAAGCGCCATGTAAGACTACATTATCATTATTATCATTACAAAATACACCGTATGTAACACATATTAATTTTATATAAGTTATAATAGTCATGTTTATCCACTTTCAGATGAACATAATGATTGTAACAGTTGCATATCTTGGAGCCGTCCTCACATTAGCCTACAGCCAAGAATGTGATCCGTCACAGAGCTGTGCTTCACAGCAGCCCTACGCCCATTTAGTGGCAAACAAAGACCAGCCTCTAAATCACTTCTATTTGGCCGGCATGTTCGATGTGCACGAGATCGACCCCAACCCATACAAATGTGGAGCACTCCGAGAAAAGGGCATACAAAACATGCAGGCATTTTTCTGGGCGCTGAAGACATTTCGTCAGCGATACAATGAGACGAAATTATTCGAAGGTGTGGATGTTGGGGGGCTGGCGTTTGACTTTTGTACGCGGCCCCACCAGGCTGTTCAGTACCTATTCAATTTGGAACGCTGTGATTTGGCATATGGTGCTGATCCACCAGTGAAGCCTTCCAATATCTTAGCTTATATTGGACCAGCACGAAGTAGCCAGGCTTTGGAAGCCGGCAGAATATTAGGTCATATGAAAAAGACTGTTATAAGTCATTCTGCAAACAGCCCCACATTAAGCGACACAAATGTGTTTAAAACGTTTCTCCGCACGCAGCCATCAGACAGTGAGCAATCCCAAGTTCTTATCGAGATTATCAAGGCGCAGTCAAACTGGGACGCTGTGCAAGTAGTGTACCGGGCAGACGAAGATGGAACCGCGGGAAAAGAAAATTTTAAAAAGATGGCCGTCGAAAATGGTCTGTGCGTTGCGCAGGAGATTAAATTACCACTCGTTGTAAACAATGCAGTTATGGACGGCGTTGTTGACAAACTAAGTGCGTTTCCAAACACCAAAGGAGTCATCATCTTTGGAACTCACGTGGAGGCTAGAAATGTGTTACAAGCAATAAAAAGGAGAGGTGCGGAAAGGGAATTTACATTTATGTCCACTACGTCATGGGGTACACTCATGCAAGTAGTCAAGGGCGTAGAGCAGGCAGCTGACGGGGCCGTAACATTATCGTTAGTGCCCGGTAACATGGATTCCTTCAATGCGTTTCGTGACTACTACCGCGCTCTCAGACCAACAACAAACCTCACAACTCAAAACCCAATTTTTGCGTCATTCTGGGAGGAAAAATTTGCCTGCGATCTGCCAGGCTCCACGAACAGGGGGGTTCCTTGTGAGCCTAACACCAATAATTTGGATACTTCTGAGATTGATTTATCCACTGCGTACGTTATTCAAGCAGTTGACGTCGCTCTCCATGGTATAGAGAATGCCCGGAGTGCCATGTGTCCAAACGTCAACCAAATTTGCACCGAGTTCTCAAACAGTGACGCCCAGTTAGACAAAATTTATGCAGAAATCCTTAAAATTTCACTCCCTGGGGTTTCTTTCCAGGGGAACGGAGACGCAGCAGTTGTGAATTTTGCCATTAACACGTTTAGTGCAAATCGCAACCAGTATGAATTGGTAAGTGGGTACCTTTAATGCAGGCATATTCGTATTTTTTGATAAAAAAAGATAATTGGCGGTTTCCTTAAAGGGGCGGTTATGTTCATGATGTCTGAATTTTGTAAACGGTTATTTAGTGCATACAGATTCATAATACTGCATTTAACAGTGTGATACTTACATTAATCAGTCCATTTAAAGACTAAGATATACCTAAAATAGATGTACCTAAAATAAGGGGGACTAATTAGTCATGTCCCTTTTTTCTATTGACTTTTTCAGAAATATTTGAAACTTAAGGCTTCATTAAGTCGCTTGGCAGGCAAGCAATTGAAGAAATGAAACTGATTGAATTAATAGTATGGTCACTGAATACTCATATTTCTGTACCTTCCTGCCTCCAATATTCAGTTTATGTCGCCCCATTTTTAAAAAGTCGATTGCACCATAAATGTTGAGTACTTAAATAATAATAAAGTAAATTACGACAACAGTGTGGCACCTAATAATCATTGTATGTACAAAGCGGAAAAAGGACACTTTTTTATAGTAGGCACTTGCGCAATTTTTCTTAAACAATTGATTTTTTTCCAGATAGAAACATATGTGAAAGGAACACCATTGTCCCAGCCTCCAAATATGGGCAGTTCTACTTGTCCAACTTGTCAAGTGTGTGAAGCCGTTACTTCTCCCATCACTACCACCACCATCTCTGCAGAGCAAACTTCAAGTGCTACCACCGCGTCTACTACGTCCACTACGTTGCGGACAACTAATGGTGGTAACGGCGGACAGACTCAACCAACCGCCGCCCCACAGCAGCAAAAGGCCCCGTCAGGAATACGGAAACAAGACTCTTGGGTTATCGCAATTCTTGTGCTGTCAAGTCTTGGTATTCTCCTGATCATTGTATTTGAGGTCTACATTATTGTAAAGGTGTCTGGTACCCCATTCTCAAAGTGGAAAGTGTTGTGGCTGGGGCAGCTCCTTTTGTTTGGTATATTTCTCAGCTATCTGGTTCTTTTCGCCTACGTACCGTATCAGACCACGGCAACGTGTGGTATCATTCGATTTGGTATTGGATTTTGCTACGCCTTTATGTTTGGTGTGCTGATTGTGAAGCTTATGAATATTTTCCAATCAAAGAAGACTGGTTATCTTCATGGCGTGTTCCAAATACTGCTTTTCCTATTCATTCTCCTTGTCCAGGTTGGAATTGACTCGACGTGGTTAATAGTAGAACCTGCCCAAGGAGTTTGGGTCACGGGACAAACATGGTATTGCAGACATTTACATTTTAGTAGCCACGTCTTATCGCTTGTCTACGTCATGTTCCTGATTCTCCTCTGTATAATTCTGGCTGTAAGATCCTACAGAGTTAAATCAAATCACAGAGAGAATATCCTAATTGGAATCGCAGCTGGTGCCACTGCTGCCTTATGGATTGCATGGGCATTGATCGGTCACCTTTCTCCACATTCACGGGAAGACTTTTCCGATTACTGGGACCCCGCAACTGCGTTTGGACTTTGGTGCACAGCGACGTTAATCCTCCTTGTCATGTTCTTGCCGAAAGTAAAACGTTTAAAAAGTATGACCATTGACAAATTCCTTAAGGCAGAAGACGAGTGGGATCGTGGTAGTGTAATGACAGGCAGCGTGTATAAAGCACCAGGTTCTGTGGTGTATGTTAACAATGGGGCATACGCTGGAGGAGTCAATGGTACACTCCCTTCCAAACAACCGCCACACGATAACGGCCTGTACACGGACGTTCCCACCCTGTCAAGATCTGTGCACAGCGTCAATGATCCACGTAAGAGATATTTTTTCGAATTTATTTAAGGCCCCTATAAATGAAATAATCTATCCAGTCTAATAGTAATTTTAGAGTTTGAAACAGTTTTTTTTTAATGAAAATCGTGAACACTTAGATACTGAGTAAACTTAAAATACTTTACAGCAGTACGAATACATGTATTATTCAACCGTGATCTTAGAAGATATTGAAAAGTTTTTTTATGAAAACAGTGTTCCAATATGTGAGTATATGATCTTTTCAGATGGCTTAGTTCTGCGACATCCAGGGTCCGTTTACGAGAGTAACACCATGAGAAGTGCGCCACCAAATGTCATATATGGTACACCGGGTACATTAAAGTCACAGAGAGGCGGAGGTGGCTCCGTCTACAGTTATGGTAGACCATACAGACCAGGTACACCAGTAGACTACGCTGCAAGAAGCCATACTTTGGATGCTAGAAGTAAACCATCATCTGAATACGCCTACCCTACGTCAACGAACAAGGCCAAGCACAATATGAAAAGTACGTGTAAATGAAAGAATGTTTTTTTTTTTTTGCGAAAAAGTTTAATTTGAATTAAAATGTGTTTTTGCTTAAGTATAAAAAAGGTCATAGTTTGCATTTCAGGAGTGATTCAAGCTATAATAATCAAATTCAGCTTGTGACATTAAGGTTACAATAACATTTATGTTTTTTCTGTTTCAGAGGCCAAATCGTATCAAGACCTGGGTCCACTGTAGTGAAGTTTCGAAATGCCGGAAACGGATGTTACAATTAGAATATTTAATCATAAACAAGTGCCATACCTAGATCTGACAGTATTCCTCATGTTTTATTTTAAATTAAGAAAATATAAGAGAGGCTCCGAAAGAAAGATTACGTTAAGAACTTTTCCAAAGGAATGTGGCAGTCACGTTTTACCACCGCTCAGAAATTGCACAGGAACCTTTCAAACGTAAAAACACCTTTACGTTTCAAGTCACACATAAGTTTATCTTAGAAATGACATGTGTAAGGTTTCATCAAAAGGGCTCTTTTCGATATCTTTTCTTTCAGTTTAATGCAATTCCAGGTTGACTTACTTTGTATCAAGTTTCTCACGCTTCAGTACACTATTGTCGACATAGTAAAAACAGCTTTAAAATTCTGTTTCTTTAGTGTTATTTCAATATTCTTACTTCAAGATTATAATTTAACAAGTACTTATATATTTTATATTTAAAGTTAACATTTAAGTGTCTTGAGTCAAATTACACAACAAATTGTGAACTAGGTAAATAACCTGATGGGTTACTTCATATCGTAAATATTTAACTTATTTATTCACGTTGTATAAAGCAAATGTACAGAGGAAAGTATGTAAGTTAGGGTCTATAGCCTAAATGGAATCCCAACTAACCTTTTTTCATTTAAAAAACTAATAAAGTTATGTATTCATTTGTTATGGCGTGTAAAACTTAAGGAGTGCTTAAGGAGTAGGAATTGGTGCATTAGAACGACGAAATTTCTGGAGTTCACAACAAAGTTTAAAAACTCATGACTGCAACTTCATGTAGTTGTAATTTAAAAACATCTTTGCGAGATTCGTCTTACAGACCGCTTTGTGCAATTTTGATAGAAAAGACATTATAAGCCAAGCAAAAGGTTATATGAAAGCATTTCAAGAACTTTTAGTACGAGGGAAAAAGTTTTTAGAGTGCTGCACTAATGATGATATTCCTCCGAACGGTCTATAGTAAGCAATTTTGAATCCTTAAATTGCCAAAAGTGGTTATTTCCATAGTCATAAGTATAGTATATAGTATACATATAATAGAATGAGTTGTAATCCACGTTAAACATTTAATCCTTTATTGGTTGAAGTTGTAAACAAGAGTGCCCCAAGAGCATGAAGTGTAAACCAGCCATAGTACTGCCAGTAGAAAGAAACAGTTGTATATTTCCATTAAATATCAACATTGTTACACATATATTTACTTATTTACCATGTTAATCATTATAAATGTATTTACATCATTTTATAAATGAAAAGAACGTCTTCATTCAATTGTTGTTGTTGTTCATTGATTCTGTCGTGTTTTTTTCGCCATAATTAAAAGCACGAAAATTAAATAGTATACTTCAGTGTATGTATGTATTCCATAATATGCAATTATAAAGAGAAATTAAGTCGCGAGCAACTAGTCTAGAAGTGAAACAAAGATAAGCGCTCTTTATAAATATTGTTTTCTCATCTAAAATAATTAAGATGCCTGAAGGTCCCTCTAGTCCTTCTAATTTTTCACCTATTTGTCTTCCTTGCTTATGAAACCTCCATGAAAGACGTATTAATACTAAGAGTCAAGTTTTTGAACTTTGCTGGATTGTACATTACATACGTCTGGCAGGTTTGACAGCATACACATACGCAGGGTCATCTAACGAGCGAGTGGTGGATCCTGGCGCGAACACTTCACCTGTTCGCGTCGTCGTTGGATAGGTGGAATACATTTCTATTGGTTCACCTAGATAATCACATGAAATATTATCAAATTTTTACAGGATTTGTTGGCTTACCTTTTCTTTAGTGAAAAGGTAAACTAGTTTCAATAGAATGAGAGAGGAGGCCTTGTTAAAAAACTAATCCATCTGTATGAAAGAACTAGACTACGATAGAGACAAGTCATAGCATGGTCACTCCTCTGGAGGAATTTTTATCATTACAATACAATAAATTCTAAATCAGAAAAATATTTAATAATTCCAAAACAATGGCAGTGTTATTATACCATGCTACTGATATTTCAGATCATCCTTACACTCCAATTGCAGATGGAATATATTTCTATTGTATCTATTCATATTATACAGACTTGACATTTAATATGGAATATTTCAGTTTCGAAGGTATGTCTAGGTAAAAATGCGTTCTTTTTTCAAAAAACTCCAATCTCATATAAGATTTGTGAATGGAGAAGTGTGTAGTCAGGTGTGTCGCTACCAATTAACTGACTTTCATGTCTGTTGCGCTGCTATATTATGTAATATGTAGTGATTTAGTTGGGTAGTGTTCCTTTAGGCTGGTCAAAGCTTGGCTTAGGCAAAGCTTGGTTCTGTCAAAAAAGTACCCATATGTCGGCAACCACTGCATAGAAGAATTTGAAATTTTGCATGCAAGCGGTCAGTTTTGCAGTGCGTAAGATGAGTCAAGTAGTGCATTACAAATTTGTTAATCTATGGCAGAATGGCGCGAAAAAGACAGACATTACCAGACAGATCATAGCGCCAAACGGAACGGTCCCCACAGTTTTATAGAGTAATGCCCAGACTGATGCACCTACACAGAGGTCACCCCCAATGTATCAAAATCTTACCTACAGGGTACAGGACCCACTGTCTTTCGGGATACGCTGCTGCAACTAAACAAAAAACACTTAGTCCGTTCAGAACGAGGGGTAAATTGCCACCAAAATGCGTTTTTCAAAGCCCTTAGCGAACACCAAACTGGTTTTAGCAGGTAAGAACACCAAACGACCTCCGAGGCACCCACTGTAA